GTTCACTGGTTTCTGGACCACACCTTGTCTGCAAACATCCGAAGATAATTCTCTGAGAAGCTAATATCTCCCTCTCCAGCAGCTGGGGCACGAAGTAACACCTTTTCGAAAGACAGGACAAACGGAGAGCCGCTCACTCTCACAGGGGCATCGTCGGTTGGCTTCGAAAGCGTGACCTGTTGGACAACAGCTGGCAACATACGGTTGGGATGCCCTCTCGTGGCCTTGGAAACTCGCTCCCACTTCCGGAAAATAATAACGCGCTTTTTTCGGTTGATGGAGATAGTGACGGCAATCTGGACGCCGTCGTTTATGCCGGAATCATTGAGCCACCAAGTGACGTCTGCTTCCAGCCTTGCTGAGGATTCCGAGTAAGCAACTTCGACCACAAGAGTGGGCCACTGTCCAGTTCTATTGGCCGGGAGATGAATGGGGCGATAGGAGCAATCCGGGTTCTTGATTCTATTGCTGCCCACGACATCCGCCCGTCCTGTGGGGAGTAGTTCACTTGTGAGCCCCATTCCCGCATAGCTCATGAGATTCTCAAACCCCCCGCGAGCTATTCCATGTTGCTGGGGAACCATTTTGAGAACGAGTATTTGGAGCGGTTTCTCGTAGGAGGATACGGGTAGGGTGTCATTTTCGGGGATTTGGTCCAAAATCTCTGGGGGAACACAGGTAAAGATAATGAACTCGCTCCTAGATGCAGTTTTGTCGTCGCTTAAGAGGTGTATTTCATGGACATATGTCTCTCTTGCATTTTTTATTCCCTGGAACTTGTATTCACTTGTTCCCTTGGCGAATTGACGCATAAAATCCTTCTTCACTTTAGCAAGCCCATTGTCAGGTTTCTTGGGTGGGTTTGACAGCACGGGAGCATTCACTGCAGAGGGCTTGAATGTTGGCCCCTGGCCGCTGTTCCCACTAGATGTTGACATATTAATCCCTTGAAGAGGTCCAACAGTAATTTATTTTAAGATAAAGAGCAAACTGAAACAACTGGCTGACAGGGTTGCTTGCTCGAGGGGACAAGTTAGGGGGATAAGTTAAATGGCTGTTGCAGACAGGAGACACTAAAGCTATTCAGATCCTTCAACTGACGTCATAATCCAACTGGCCCCCTATTTAACGCGTTTACATGCCCGTATCCTGCAGGGTATTTTCAATTACATTACTACCTGACTTTAGCAAGATTTCTCCCCCAAACCCTGGAGCAAATTATATAATGGCTCATAGCAACACCCATTTCAAAAACCAAGGACCTACTCGGGAGCACGGGGGCAGAGCAAACTGTGAAATCGACGTCAAATTCTATCCGACGTCAACACCCTTTTCCGACTCTTTCTTGGCCCCGATAATTCGCGAAACGAAGGCGGTCCGATTCCTGCTCGCACGTTTGTACATCACGCTCGGTAGTTTCTCATATGCCACGAATTGGTGGAGAAACATGGGAAGCGCCTCGCAACCACCAGGCACAGATCCTGATTCCTGTGGAACGTGGGAATACTGGCACCATCCCTTAAGGAAAGCCCATTCGCATCCATCAACCTCGTCTTCATAGAGCCTTCCATTGAGCCATGAGTTGCCAGAAATCCCCATGATTATGCCCGAAATTCCCAGAATCTCCGGTTGCTTCCATAGCACATTCGAGCCCTCAACCTCTGTCACCCACTTTTTGAGCATGCTGCATTTGTTTCTCCTCTCGGCCATCATGAGCCGGACGGAGAAATGAACGGTAATAGAAAAATTTGGTTTCATGGCAACCATTGGCAATGATTGAGCCGCAGTAGCCTCAACACTGGGGTTGTTGCCGGATGAGTTTAACGTGAGATATTTTCTCCGCGACCTGAGGCCAGCAAGTCCCCAATACCAGCCTGTTTCCTTGACTCGTCCTGTTGATTTGAGATTAGTCGAGGTACAGGCAATAGGGATGAGGCACCTGTACTAACTAACCTAGAGCTGGGGTTTTCTCTCCGATCTTCCAACTTTCCATGTACTTTTTAAGGGCCTGGTTGATATTGCGCTCCCATTGCAAGTACCCAGGGCTTAAAAAGTGACTTCCCTTCCCTCCCAAATCGGCCGTGGTATATCTCTTCAGCTGGGCAATCATCCACGAGTAAGAGAAGGCAGACAATCCGGAATCCGGGTTTCCTCCAGCAACATCTGCATGAGTACCCAGGAACCAGCACTGCTTAACCATTTCTGTATTTGCCTCGCACGACTCCCACATACATGGTTTGAAATGCCTCCTGCTCTCGTTAAGCGCAAGGGCTTGGAAAGCATAGTCGACAATTCCCGGGATCTTCTTGCCCACGAACGATAGAGGCCTAGGTGACAACATGGTTGTTGGAACTCCGAGTGCGCTGACAGTATCCCAAACCGCGCACGCCTTGATCCTTACATCACGCTTCGTCGCCCCGGCCACAGTGAGTTTATTGACTATGTCGCAGAGATCCTCCAGGGGCTTGCGGCGACCGCCCCACTGAGTCCTGTGTTCTTGTTTTGCCCATAATGTATACAACCCACGGAGATACAGCAAATCTTCCTTCCTCAGCAGTCCGATCTGGGATATTAGCGATGCTAAACACTGGACTGTGAAGGCTCCGCGCGAGTATCCAATCAGGAAAATTTCATCATCGCCGTTGTCAAAGTTGTAATTGTGCGAGAGGAAGCTGTAAGCATTCCTAATCTTGGCCGATATCCCTATGTTAAAGAAACAGTATTAGCGTTCTGAAGACGAAATGCTGGCTTCTAGGAGAACTTTGCGTTCAAAATATCCGACAACTACCCCTTACTTACCCCTCCCAGTGGCAGCATCGACGGCTTGTGCAACCAAATCTGTCCCGTTGCCAACTCCGCCGTCATAGTATACAATCTGGAGATAACCATCCCACGCCACGTTGTTGATACATCTCGCAAGTCTCGATACGTGTGTTATGGGCCCTCTATTGTTGATTCCGTCCTCCCATGTACCGTCGCAACAGATGAAAAATCGTTTAGGTACACTCTTTACCTGGCGAGAAGATAACCCATTACTAGCAATATGTAATGGGGGCAGCTGTGAATCGACGATTTGTGGCAAAATGGCGTCGGGGTCATTGCAGGATAACCCATTTTCGATGTTCTGAGATGAACTCGCTGCCATCCCTAAATCGAGTGGTTACTTGAGGCAAAGGAGATAATGCAAGACACCCGCAAGCTCAAAGAGGAATAGCCCTCTTGGGTTTAACAATGGATATTTTTGTGCGCAAGGAATTATCCAATACCGGGTTTGAAATGACAGCAACGGAAAGGAAAACTCGAAAAACGCTCCAAAATTGAACTGCGCGGGTGGGTAATCGCCCGCTTTATTTCAAGAGTACAAAGTGCAACATCCCCTCCCTCGCCAGCCAGTCTTGGGGGTGTATTTTGGATCAGACTGCATGTCGAGGCGGGGGAGGCTGGCGGCAAATAGCGGGGAAATAATACATGGTGCCGTGCCATTGGATAGTGAAAAGTGTTCCTCTACTTCTACATGTAACGGATTTTTGAGTTGCAAACCCTTAATCATTCTGATTAGTGTAACGAGGTGCCTGGTGGTTAAGCGGGAGGGAAGGGAAAGGGGGGAATATTTGCCCTTTACTAGTTGAACTACTCGCATTGGATGACATACACCCTTGAAAGTGCTTAACTGCTTAATCCCTGCAGACACCATGCGTTGGTTCCTCGACATACCTGGCTATCCATCCCTTACATTATATATTCATTCCCTTAATATCTATACCTAGTTACCTATAAATAGACGTTTGTTGTGCCCATCTAAGTAACCTATGTATGTACGTTAGTTACCCTAGCTTCCAGTGAGACAAGTTTCCTCCCGTTGGTATCCTGCTTCCAGAAATCTTCGGCAATTGAAGTCAGTTAAACGTTAACTAATTCTACGGTAGGAGAGCATATGTGGTGTAAATACATGTGCAAGAGGGTAAGGGGAGTTAAAGGTTGGGGCATAGATAAGTTAGTTAGTTAGGCGTTCATTGGGGACTCCTATTGACTGGACTTTACTGGCTATTAGTACTAGTATTCATCTATAGACTAATTCCTCTGTATATTAATATACCGAACTAATTATTATTCGATGAAACCTAGAACAATGGCTAAATTCGATCCATTCGAAGGTCCCTGCGTTGATATAGATTGGAAGTAAAGCGGCTGTTTCCATGGAGGAACTTATAAGGGGGTTTTGGTGGGGAAACAGGAACGCAACGCAACTTGTAGCTGTATGCAGATGATGAAGTACGGCACGTACCACAGCTTTGCTCTAAAGTAAGAGTATTCACGTAGATGGTGTAGGAATTCCTTTTTAGTCTTGTACACATCTATAAAACTCATGCCCCTTATTCGTTTATCTAGAAAATAAATAGATAAAATAAAATAAAATAACAAATGCCTGATAACCAAGAGATAGATTGAGGTGGACAGAGTTAAGAGTTATTAGTGAACGGGCCGAACCGTAATGCCACTTATGTAGCGAGTAATAATTACTAAAAGTTTGGTTATCTACCAGTCCCATTTCTCATACACCCTTTGCCTAGCTATGTGAATTTGTTTCCGGGCTGGCATAACCCTATCCTTTTCCAACGCCGTTCTACTTTTTCTCCGATAATGTGCTTGAATTGGCCCGGCAAGTTGAGGGAAGGTGAGGGTGGTTACGATATGGAGGGTTTCATTCATTCTGTGAACTTTTCGTGGTTTGTTAAAACCATCCGCGGACGGGGGATTTAGATATTCCCGTGTGTCCCAGAGCATTTGTTGATATATAGATTTCATCTAAACAGTTAATTTCATTGTGAAGATATTCCTGTCCTGTTTCATCTCTCAAAAAGACAATTGACGGGGAATCTATCAGTCAGAAGTATATAATAACCATCTGAGGTAAACAACGATAAACCATGGTTGACATATCCCCATTCAGTTACAGCAGCCTTGCAAAGGTAAAGATTGTCTAGCAGCCTACAAACGGCGGCACAGTGGTAGAGTGGTTAATACGTGTGATTTGAAATCACATGCCTTCGGGCGCCTAGGTTCGAATCCTGGCTGTGTCGATTATTTTTTATTATTTTTTATTATTTTTTGCCCCCATAAACCCCTCCTAGGGGGGAAACATCTGCCTACACGACCACGGAAAATGCTCTCTTCACAAATAGAATCGCTCCCTCTGTTTCATCATTGAATATAGATCCGTCTAAAGCTGCGGCGACAACGTAACGCGCAAGGTCATGCGGCTGTTCAATGGGGTTGGTGAAACGTCCTTGCTTTTTGGGGAACACGCGATTCAAAAATCTGCAATTATCTCACACAATTTGTGGCTAGGTTGAATAAGGGTGGTGCACTGAATTGTTGCAGTGCCATTGTTTGCACAGGCTGACTCTCTTCTCCATAGCCCTCCAATATCCAATTCTACATTGTGCCAGTCACGCAGAGTTTGACTGGTTATCAGTCATTATTTTTTCCTGCTATCGTCCCATCCCAGACGGTGCCAGACCTAAACGCATCTGCATCTATCTAAAGGGGGTTGATTCTGGACTGCCAGATATGGGCTTTCTCCTTGTGGGTATTCTGCACAGTCTTAGGAGAACGCACGCGCCCGTAGGAATTGATGATCCACCGCCTATTTTCTGGCATCGGGCATACTAATGTTTCAATGATATAATTTGTCCCATTTCGCTGATACATGTGTGGTTGAAACAAACCCATTGCCGTTCTCGCCTCTCAAGCATTCAGCTATTCATTAATTGTCTGTCCTCCATCCATATTTGAGCAATCTACTGCTAACTAGTAGGTGCTCCAAATATCCCGAAACAAATGAGCCCCATCGTCCTTCATAATCAATTCCAAAAAGCAGATACCATATCATGGAAAAAACTGTTCACGACCCTCATACATCATCGTCACAATCATTAAGAGAGCCCTAGTAGCTATCCTTACCCTTTCCCTTGTCATCTCCCTTTCCATATCCCTTGCCATCCCCTTTCCCATCGCCGTATCCCTTGCCGTCCCCTTTCCCATTATAATCATCGTGTCCCTTTCCATCCCATTTTCCATCGTCGTATCCCTTGCCATCCCCTTTCCCATCATCGTATTTCTTTCCGTCCCATTTTCCATCATCATATCCCTTGCCGTCCTTTTTCCCATAGTTGTCATATCCCTTGCCGTCCCATTTTCCATCATTGTACCCCTTGTCGTCCCCTTTCCCATTATCGTACTTCTTTCCGTCCCATTTTCCGTCATCATATCCCTTGCCGTCCTTTTTCCCATAGTCGTCATACCCCTTTCCGTCCCATTTTCCGTCATCGTATCCCTTCCCGTCTCCTTTCCCATAATTGTCATATCCCTTTCCGTCCTTTTTTCCATCATCGTATCCCTTGTCGTCCCCTTTCCCATAATCGTCATATCCCTTTTTGTCCCCCTTTCCATCGTCGTATCCCTTGTCATCCCCTTTCCCATAATCATCATATCCCTTTCCATCGTGTTTCCCATCCCCTTTTCCATCTCCCTTTCCGTATCCCCATTTATCTCCGTAGGTATCAGCACCAGCATCGCGCTTAGAAATAAGCCATGGAGCAGCGTAGCCGCCAATGCGGTACTTCGGGGAGGCTGCTTATTATCAGATACCATGAAAAGAAAGCCCGCATCGCCCCCCCCCCTTCTGTATGTAGTAAAAAAAAGGGGGCTCAAAGAAAATGGCTCTTTATCTGCCTACCTAGGGCGTCCGCTTCTCTCCAAGCGATATTCCCCAATTCTGTAAAACAGCGCCCTGATTCGGTTTCGCATAGCGCGTATTTTCCTGCTGGTGCTGCCAGGGTCCCCTGGAGGGGAGCAATGGCAAGGAGGGCAAGGGCGAGATTCATTGTTGCAATGTTAGGCCAAGGTTCAGGAAACAGTTGTGTCGGTGAGAATGATGGTGAAGGAGCAGAAGAAGGTCGACTCGGTTGATTTTCAAAGATCCGGCGCGAAGTTCTTGAGAAAGAATGTTTGAGGAAAGGCTGGACCTCTGAAGCTCAACGATGGCTTTTTATACTTCTCCCCTCGCTCCCATTTAAGATCCGAGTGCTTGGACGATACCAGGACTTTGGTGATACATGCGGGAGATCATCCCGTCCTACCTTGGGCACTTTCCTATGTCTCGGGTATATAATGTTGAGATGCATTGCGTAATGTGAAAGGATGAAGATGTCGTTGTCTTCACCGCATGATGTACAACTGGGTATGTCTAGGACATAAGTATCAGAGAAGCATACGCAACTCCGAATCATCCAGGCTATTCGGGGTAGCGGATTGGCAGAGTTATGTAGGTAATATGTAAGTTCGCGGATCGGGAATCGGTTATCGAAAGAACATGATGACAGTGATGGCTACTGCGGCGATCGTATGATTCGATATAGAAACAACAGGACGAGCTTTTCTTTAGATTCGGTAGCCAGCCAAAGGGGAGGAGGAAAACATGTCTCTTGCTGCCTTTGACATAGCTACTTATCGTGTAGATGAGTAGCTGGCACTAGTAGAAAGGGGATAAAATTCAAACTTCGTCCATGGCTACCTCGGGAAGTTCCTTGGACATCCATCAGATGGGTATGGAAATTGGTCCAAAGACCGAAACCTTCCGATTTAATAGGAACAATTGGATATATGTATGTACATGTACATGTACATACACGTACAACAATCCGCCAGCATACACAGCGCAAGCTCGGATACCTTCCTCCTCCCATGTTGGCAACCTAGACTGCGATTCCACAGAAATCGACCTTGGATCTCCGACGTTTCACACATAGCTAGTAGATATCCAGCATTTTCGGGAAAGGATGCTAGTAAGAAACGCACCGGAACTTTTCTTAAACAGATGTCCTCTCAATTCTATGGCGTAGTAAGTTCAGCCGCTGGAGTTGGCAAATAATTCTCTGAGACTGCTGTCGGCTGATAGAAGAAAAAGAGTAATCTGCAACGAAGCTCGATTCTGTCTCTTCCCTCGTATGTATCGATAGTATCTGCATGCCCATTAGTCGATTTTTCAGAGGTCAAGAAGCTGCGCCATGTCGCTAAAAGGGATGATCAACCTAAAAGTGTCTTATGCGCACAATCCTCTTGACGGTTTGTACTTTCGGAGCTAGTTGTGCAATATGGAATCTCTGTACCCAATGTGCTTCGATAAGTCGGGCCGATTTTGTCCAACTTGAGCATTGCTAGAATGTTGTGGTTCGTACTGTTGTCATTTCCGGTGGACACGCCCTAAGCGCGCGCCAAATTTCTCTTCGCTTGAAGCGCCTTCAAGCGCCCCGGAACTTCTCAACATCACATCACTGACGGTCAGTCGATAACCACCTGTCAATTAAACTTCTTTTTCCAGAATAACAGGAAAGGAAGAGAGGATTCCACAATACATGTTACCCTAAAACTATTACCTTTCAACAGGAAGCATGTCTCATTCATGTCATACCATCACTCTGGGTTCAATTCCACCCTATGACAATGTGCTGGAGCCAGCGCAGCATTACCTGATGCATCCTGCATCTCATGCACTTTTAGCCATTTACATATCATGTTAAGATTTCTGTAGTTCTTGGCAGTGTTTCCTTCTCCGGCATGCGCTGTCGTGGTCATATTCCGCCCGACTGGTCCAACGTTCCCATCAGCGAGACACAACGACAAGAGGCGGAGGCAGTCAAAACAATGCTCCATGTCGAGAAAGCACCATTTTAGCTGATCATATCAGGCTCCGCTTAATTACTTTGTCTTTGATTCATTGACACTGGCCCATCGCCAAATTAATTTTGGGTGATTCCCATTATCTCCCACTTGCTGCATATATAATGCTAAATGGATGCTTCTCTCAGTTCAACTGTTTCCACTATCAGCCAGATATGGACCTCCCAGGCAGTGGAGTCAATAAAAACCTCCAGGCACCCTCCATACGATCTTGAGAGAGCGTTTGAAATTGTTTTGCGGTTCGTGTTCCCAGGAGACGTGTTTGTTCCTCACTCAGACACTTTCGGATTTCAGCCCACAATTCCTTCGATCCTGGTGATCAAGAGAAGTGCTCTGGGTTATTTTATTATGGAAGCCGCGTCACTGCCCAGTCACTGGCCCTTGAAACACCGTTTCTCGATCTTCTATGATTCGAACGAAGAACTCCCACCCCTCCATCTTCATCAAGATATCGGCTAGCCCGATAGTCGACACACCATGGGCAGATGAGTCCTCACTGAATCACGTTCCAAAGTGATGTGGGCAGTGCTATTTCAAATCATCGAGGGAGATGCCACCCAAACGAAAAAAGGTGACAAGTGCTGACCGCAACGAGCCGGGTCCCGCTGTCTTGATGGCCTTTTTGCGGTAAAGCTTGTCCTTGGATACTATTTGCAATTTCTAATCCCTCGCACCCCGCCTAGTCTCTATCATTTTCCTTGTGGATAGGTAGGTGATTGTTACCGAAAATTGTGTGCAACTATTTTGGTTCATGAAAGTGGCTAATAGGTCATATTCTGAGGAAATGACCGAGTGTCTAAGATCAAATAGATCCTGCTGGCATTTTCCCCTTCGTGTCCGTGAAAAGTAAAGTTGATTGGGGATTAGGATACTCCATTGTATAAGCTATGCCACATACATGCCTTTGTACAAGTACAACTGGAAAAGCCGATGCATAGGCAATCTGCTCCCTGCAAATACTTTACTTCCCATACACCTCCTATTCCCTGCGGTATGGCTCACGCGGAAATCATTGGATTCCAACAAGGATCCGCTTAGCGGGGCTATGCTCTGTCAAGTTGGAACCAAGCAGATTTGATTGAATGGAGCTGAGCACCGTTCAAGAGAAACTCTACTTCAATAGTTCCATATATCTTGTGCCTATCCATACATCGGCAATTCCACCTCTTCAACCACGGCCATAAATGAAACCCATCCGGTTGCGGAAAGATGTCTCATAAATATCAATCCTTGCTCACAGTTTTCGATATTTTTGCAGAGATATTGCTCACAGGCCGATGAGGATAAGTTGTTCCTATGCACACAAGCTCTTTCAATTAAGGAATGAGGGGCCGCAAAG